TAAAAAAAATAACAGATTTTGACAATTTTGAGCTTTGACAGCCATCCTATAAGCTATTTTCTTCCACTTAAAAAAATTTTTCAAGATAGCTCCCATTTTCAACTGTTATTTTTAAGTTAAAATCTGCTATTCATACATCAATTTCACCATCCAGAATTGCAGATTCCTAATATTATTGCACGTGGTAGCATCTCGCAGCCTGTGGCGAGCTCTCAAAATCATAGAGAACCAGTCACAAAACATATGGAAAATGTTTGCCTTATTTTCAAAAAAGGTGAATGTGCCGACTGTAGGATCTAGAATCAGTATACTAAAAACCTTTTAGGAAGGCGTTGGGAGATGCCATGTTGATCGGGATCATGGTCCTTACAAGGTCAGTTTCTGGGCAGTTTGATTTTTATGATTAAATAGAACTGGCACGAGTTGCTCGCGAATTCAGGAAACTGAATAGGACAGGAAGCTTTTCAAGGGCTCAGTTTATGTCTTAGTCTTAATGCATTTGGAAATCTACAAAGATTATCGATTGATTGCAAAGCTTACGTCTTCCTACATATTTAGATTGGGTAGATCCAGATTACAAAGGATTCCTTTTGTACGATTTACAAATAGTCCATACGCAATTCGAAGTCCTTTGTTACAAAACGAACAGTGTCTAGATTCGGCGATGAAAACGACATTTTAAATAAAGAATTCTTTTCAAGTGGAAACGTGCTTGTATTAAATAGAGGATACCTTGATGTCACTGTATTGTTAGATGAGTTGGATATAAATTGGAAAATGCCTTCACCTCTGGGAGGAAATCAGTGACAGCTGTCTACGGAATTAGCCGATGAAACTCGTTTAGTTACCAAAACAACATGGGCAGTTCGAGAGTTTTCCAGATTTTTTCTCTTCCACCTACAAAACACAACACGATTTAAATTCAACCTTGTAAAGGTGTTACTCAACGATATGTAAAAAACCATGAATTTTTTGTACCATTGAATAGCTACCTATCCCGTTGAGATTTCTCGAGCAACTCGTGCCAGATCTATTCCAGAATGAATTTATGAAAATTAACTTGCCTTGAAACTGACTTACCATACCTTCCTACAAGGTGTTTTAACGAAACATTTCTTTCATGTCGGGTTCATGCACGACTTAACGTAACCGAATTTAAGGATCAGCTGTTTCTACACCAGTGTCATCCACATGTTACGCCGCAAGAGGGTAACTAGCTAGTGATTTCCAGTGGTGGTCAAACGTTTTGGTGACGTCACACCCATTTTTTGACATGATTCGGGTGGTTTCGGAACTCGGCTTACCCTTCTATAGCCCTTTCCATACTGTTCTATGCTCGTATAGAGGTAATTATAATAATTCTGTGGTGTCTCGTGTTCCACGACGATTTACCGAGAAAGCCAGGCGGTGACTCATCTGTTGTTTTTGTTTGAGTTGTTGACGAATTTGCGGTAGAGATTTGTTTTGGTGTTCATCCTCGGGTGTGTTTTTCTGCCTTGGACTTGTTTTTTGTGCGATTAATTGAGGATGGCCATGCCTAGAGCAAAAAAAACGAAAAGCCGCGCTGGTATCAACTCCTGACCTTCTTGAAGAGGTACCTACAGAAGGCACCTGAACGCAATCGGACATCGCCAGAGGAGCGCCTAATGATGACGTTGCAGTAAGTATCCAAATCAGTTCATTTTTGCATAAATGACTAAATATATTGAGGTTATGGGCGTTTTCTTATTTCAAGGCCACTTCTTAAAATAAAGTTCAATATATTGAACTTTATCTTAAGAACCAACCAATCGGATCACTAGCGTTGGTCAGCTGATCGCTACAGCTGGAATTAGAAGATGGGTACGAGCCATCGATACTGTACAAAAGTCGATAGTCGATATTTATATTGTGATGTTTGATCGATTTTATATCGCTGTATTGGCAGATGGTTCGGTGATAGTTGTTTGAAAAATTATTTGCGCTTGCTTACGCATGACAGTTTAGAGCTGAACATCGGGGCGGATTGATAAAAAAATCAGAGATGTATTTTAAAAATTATAATAATTAAAGTCGGTGGTCATGTTTACTTCATCCCCTAACAAAGTGCGTATAGTGGTAATTTCAGCAAAATATATCATTATTGCTACAGCATAAAGTAGATAAAAAAACAGCATGAAAAAAATAAACATGGGTCCTAAATTGCCCCTCACCAAGATAGAGGATTTTGAAATTATATTCTAGAGAACGAACAAAAAAAATGGAAATGATCTTAAAATTTTGCGCTTGTAGTACTGACTTCATAGCTGATAGATGCAAACACTTTCATGTCTGAGACTGTACCAGTGGTGATGTTGGCAAATTGTAGCCCCTACAGAAGAAAAAAGAGAATTTAAATCTATACCATGCCCCCCATGACATGTTTTTCCAAAACCTCACAGAACACTGTGAAGGTACTTTGTCATTAACTATAAACCAGGTGTACACCTGGCGAATGCTGTGTATTCGCAGCCCACCAAATATGTAATCTCTTTTGACGTTTATTGAGGTAAACAGATGAGTAGCACGTAACTTTTTTTGTGACATCTGTACTGTTGGTAATAACAAATCTGGTAAAGGGCCAAATTAAGGACTGGTGTTTGGTATCACCAATGAAAATTTGTTTACACACAGAATCTTGGCAATCAAATGTATACTGCTAGATTGGAAATTTATACATATGTACAGAGCAGTATCATCTGAAGGGACGTGGTGAGATGACTATGTTTCTGTTTAGTGTTTGCTGACCAAATATGACAGTGATATTATGCTAATAATTTTTTTTTTGTTTCAGTGTCAACATCCTTCGAGGAGACAGTTGGAATGAAGATCGTCTTTTATTTTATGGATACCAAATTAATTGTCAATGACATAAGGAGTTTGTTTCCTAGTTTGAAGGCACAATTAGTGTTTTATGTGTTTTTTTTTGTTGAGGACAATTTTGTTAGCCTTTACCCATTAACAGTCTGTGCAAAACTATTTTTGATTCACATATCAAAGTGATTATATTTGTATTCCAGTCAGTCCTCTAACTACAGATGTATTTTTGTTATTTTAGTATTTATATTTTCGCAATAAATATACATCATCAATTAACAAGAGATAGTGCTTGCATGATATTGCACTGATCAGGTTCATAATATAGAGAAAAATCCAGATGACTAGAATACTTCTATGTATGTACAATTTATTGTAATGGAGAATTTGTTCTATTATTGCTGGGACTGTTCAATAAATATTTTTTTAATTATACATTTTTTTATTATCCTGAAATTCATTACTAGTTAAACTGATGAAAGAAATATTTCCTTTATTGAGGACGTGTTATGCATCTATGATCATCGATCTGCCTCAATATCGGGAAGGTCATCAGTCAGATTTCGTAAAAGCCTCCTATTAACAAATCTACATGTTGTCAGGCTCCAAATTGCGTCTCTAATTGTTTGAACAACTTTTTCAAATAAATTACAGAAATTAATGTTTTCGCTTCCTCAAAGGTAGCATTCTTTTTTTTTTGATACTCCGAAACAAAACGATGTTTGACAATGTTTGTCAAAAGTTGATTTTGTACGAGATGGGAAAGTACAAAAAATTGATTATGCGATACCGAAAAACGATCTGAAAAAACGAAAATGTTAATGTCGCCATACTTCATAAATAACCATTAACGATACCTTTTAGGAGATACTGTTATTCTAAATCTTTGTATTTAATTGATATGCATATTCAGCATGCACGAGAGATATTTCATCTCTCTCTCGCGTTCACATAGACATAGACTATACATTGAGCGCGCATTCAATTCATAATTACTATGCAAATATTTATAATAACTGTACTCCCTAAAAAGCTCTGGGGGTTTTGTTATTGGTTGATTGAAGCATGCATGCTCATTTTCTTAAGTTAAGTTACGTTAAGTCTTGCATGAACCCACCATTAGAATACGGAGTTTTTGGTCTGAGTACTACAATCGACGCATTCACCATTTTTGTAAATCAGGTAAACTTTATCCGCCTATTTCTCGGAGACTAATCATAGGATTGCTTTGGTGCCATGGATTCTTTGTTTCGGTAAAGCAAGAAATATATCATACTAAATTTTTAGACAAATCGACTTGGACCCATTGTCCTTGTTTTGGGCCTAGACTTTTGGCGTAGGCGTAACTTTCAGAGTTGTGTTGCAATGTGTATATGTTATAAATGGATTCCCATGATAAAATGTGCCTTATTTGCTTACTTTCCTAATGGTCAGACAGTGACGATTTCGTAATGAATCCTCAAAGATAACTGATTTTAAAATTCTTGCTGCTTCAGCGATTTTCTTGTGAAATAAAACATATCTCTAGCCGCACCTAATGATATGAAGCAGTGAATACAAGAAACATTTCTAAATATCAATGAACATATGCTAAAAAGTGTGAAACAAGCATTCATTCGAAGACTTTGGAATCCATATGGATGCTATATCCACCTTGTTCTTGTGAAACGACATATTTGAATGTGTAATAGAAAGTAGGCCATTCCATTTAAGAAAAATCAACCTTGATATTATGTGAGTCATAATTGGGACAACCTGTATAATTGGTAATATTTTATAAATAAGCCTCCAAACACCAGAATCGAGAAACATTTTTCTCTGAACACTTTTTTTAGGAGCAATACTCCATCCTTGCACGGTTGGGACACCCTGTATTTCCTTTAACGAAGTGTCCTATTGATTAATGTCTTAAATGAGACCTGTATTGTTTGATGTTTTTTTTAAGTTAATGACTTTTCTTACGTTTTTGGATTGCTGGTCTAGAAAGAAGACTTCAACGATGGAAATTGATTCTTAATGATACTGTAATTGACCAAAATTAAGATACACTTATCTTTGTAGTACATCTTAATAAACAAAAAACCCACTCTATTTCTCGACTAACTTCTTTTTGCGTTGTGACTGCAATATTTGTACATAAATATAAAAACTCTCCTTAGACTCACCCATTCAGAAGCATTTCGCCTCGATTCTTAATCCAGTAGTTTATTGTATTTGGATAGGCTTCAACATAACATTCTAGCTGAACGTCGGTGTTCAACGGAGCTCCTAGAAGCTGGTTTGGAACTTTGATGACTGGTGCAACTGAAACAAAAAATAGACTAATAACAACTTGGTCTAATTATAGATATTTACAATGAGATTATTAAACATATCAGTTCATGGAAAAACAACTGTTTACCCGGTTTTGATGGAATACAAACGAAAATTATAAAGCAATATAATTTGTACTTAATTGAGCCATTAGTACACATCATAAATCTAATTTTTAAAACTGGCTGTGTACTTCAATGTTATAAAACGACTATTGTTACCCGAATATATAAATCTGGAGATAAAACTAAAATTACAAAGTTTCGTCGAATTGGAGTTATTACGAATTTGGCTAAAATATTCGAAAAGTTAAATTATCAAGCTTTTTATCTAGTAATAATGTTTTGTCAGTAAATTAATTTGGTTTTCGCAATGGCATCAGTACCTCAGATGCGATACTTAAGGTTACAAGAACCACTTTAAAAATCTTGATCAAGGAAAGAAATGCATTTCGGCCTTCTTAGACCTTGCAAAGGCATTTGACACAGTGCCTCATGAATCCCTTCTAGATGCCCTCGATATTTATGGCATTGTGTTGAAGGTTTTTGCGAGTTACTTGTCATGTAGAATACATATGACTAACATCGGAAATGTGACTCGTCAGAAATAGAAATGGGTATACCACAGGGCACCGTTATTGGGCCATTACTATTTATATTATATATAATGTCTTTGACAGATATTATTCTAGAAAATGGTATGGTGGTTTTATACGCTGATGACACCATCGCGGTCTTTCTGGTGGAAACATGGGAAGAGGTATATGAAAAAACATCTCTTGGATTAGAAAAATAAAATGTTGGCTTGATTCATCTAAACTTAGTTTAAATGTGGATAAAACTAATTACATAGCCTTCTCCTTAATATCTGCAAATCGACAAAATTTTAACAGCATACAAGTAAACTGTTTTGAAAATGAAATAAAAGAGGTACCATACACCAAATACCTTGGTATAATAATAGATCAAAATCTTAAATGGAAGCAACATGTGCTTAGGTTAACTAGCAATCTACCAAAATTATTAAGAAAATTTTACAAGATCAGAGAAATTTTAAACAATCACTCATTAATCTGTGTCTATAAAGCCCTAGTGGAGTCATTACTCAGATACGGGATAATTGTCTGTGGAAGTTATTATGAGACAGCATTAAAACCTTTAAAAACTATCCAGAATTACAAATTAAAAATAATTTTTAGAGAAAACCAAAGATATCCTACTTGTCATCTTTATAGTGGGAAAATACTTGCTGTAAGGTCATTGTATATTTTAGCAGTCTGCTCCTTTATGTATAAAAATCCTTTATTAAGAGAGTATGTTAGTCATCCTTATTCAACCAGAAACAATGCTGATAGAAATCTAATAATACCCAATAGTTTCACAAACATAAACCTAAGATCAATTGACTATATTGGTCCGAAAATCTACAACATTTTGCCTGGGACACTGAGGATGATAAATAAATTAAAATTGTTTAGTTCAGAGTGTAGATAATTTGATGTGGCAAACCTTGATAGGTTCATTGCTCTTTGTTAGCTAAATATGCAAATGCTTCGATCATTTTTTTTTTGTTTTTTAGGAATTTACATTCTGAGTTGGTTGATTTTTGTCCTTGTTTAAGTGACTACAATGTAATTGGCATGACATTATAATTATATAGATTGTCAAATAACTATTTGACCTGGATTTATTTTGTTTTATTTATTTTACTATTTTATTATTAAAATATTACACTACATATTATTTAACATTTGTGCATATGGTTATTAAGTCATCTAGGTACCACATAAGAAAAACTATACATGTTTTATTTTAGTGTAATATATTATAAAATCACGTCGCCATCACTTTGTAATATATTGTATTGTATTGTAATAATTTAAATACTCCTTTAAATGCTATGGGATTGGTTAATCGATGTTTGAAGAATACTTAGGAACTTGGCAGCATAAAAATTTGTCTTTTTTCAGTTGGAGTTGAAAGTGGCGATCTACACTTTTCACTTATTAAATTGCTTTTATTTCGAATAACATCGACGTTAGAGAAAACTTAATAAAAACCTTTTTGTTCAGAATGTTTCAAAAACCCTAGAACTGAAAAAGGAAAAAACCATTTTTTTTTTGGAAAATATTGTTTAGGCAATTTTTGACACATTTTGTGCCTGAAAATATGCAGATTCGCTAGAAGAAGTCCTTTTTGATTAAGATTATGCAGAAAAACCGAATCAGAATAATAAGTCTAATATTAACTGGAATGGGCAACAGACAATGCATTCAAATGAGAGAAAAAGTTGTTAATGCATTTGTCACTCCCAGTTTTCCATTATCCCAACGTAGAGCGAGCAAACGGAATCTATGTCTAGATTCTCCAGTGGTGTGACAAACATGTCCTCTAGGCGCTCCGGCTCCTAAAATAGAGCAATAGTCAGAGTGGTAGTAGTGAAATTTTGTCTACATATTAAAAATATTAACAAAAAAGTCTGGATCAGGTAACTATGATGAAAGTATAAGTACAAAGCAAACCAGTCATTGCCTATAAAGGACAGGCGATGGTTTCGTTTGTTTCCCCAGAGACTAGAGTCCAAGCCTAGACTATGCTGATGAGTAGCTTGGAAGCACAAAACACCTGTCTGTGGTTCGCAGTCTTTTTGGTCGGACAGACGAAAACATCATGTTTTGGTTTATTCAATGGCAAGTAGACGACATCTACTAAACAGCCAGAGTCGTCAGCCATCTAGCGGTCACATGGTGATGTGAACTGAGATATTTAGCTCTTTTGGCTTTGGCTCTAGTGCGGAAGACAAACAAGAGGTAACGTAACTGTAATTCGGTTATTCATTTTAACTTTTTAATAAGGAGACAAACAGCTTTGCGCATAAGTAAGCATGTTCTATTGGACTTTTGCGATGACTTGCATAAGTTTTCCTAAGATTCCATAAACAGAAACAAAGTGATTCATAAGTTCTGTCAAGTGAGTGACAATTAATCATGATATATCCAAGCCAGTACGATGATAAAACTACAAAGAGTGCTGCCTAGACGCTATAAAGACAATCATCGAGATTGAGATCGCACATCTTTATTTTCAATATCATGTTGAAAAGGCAAGGTGAGTTTGCAAGAAAAACGAAGCTTTTTTAACAAAATTAGCTATTTACACTAATCCACTATAAATTTTGAATATTCTCATACAATTTCAGAGCTGTGCTACGAGGGATGTCTTTTAGTTTTGCATATGGAAATAAAACAACACGGTAGGTAGTTTTAAATGACTTTATTGTTTTTCGAAGTATTCTCCACGAAGATTAATATACATCTGGATGAGCTTGAACAAATTTTCGAAGCACCTATTCCACTCGTGTGCTGGCAGATCCAAAACGGCATTTTTGAATGCGTCAACTGCATCTTCTGGTGACTGGAACCTTTGACCACGCAAACTGTTTTTAATTTTCGGGAAAGTAAAGAAATCGTTAAGACTTAGATCGGGACTATATGGAGGATGGTCCAATAACTCCACGTTTTCCTCCGTTAAATACTGCCTTGTTTTTTGGGCTGTGTGCGAGCTTGCATTGCCTTGGTGGAGGATGATTCTAATTTCGGGGTTGATTTTTCGAAGCTCGGGGATAACTTTTGGCAAACAAATGGTGGTATACCAATCCACAGTAACAGTTCCTTGGAATTGTTGCAATATGACCCGCTTTTGACATAAATGTCGCTACCATCTTTTTCGAAAAACTTCGAGAACAGATGACTTTTGTTGGCTTTTCTTCACCGCGGAACACCCAAACAGTCGACTGTCGTTTATTTTTTGGTTCATAACAGTAAATCCACGATTCATCACCACTATCAATGCTGTACACATTTTTTGAGTTTCTGGAATAGAAACGGTCAAGCGTTCTTTGACACCAATTAACCCTGGCTGATTTCTGCTCTTCAGTCAACAGGTGGGGTATCCAACGAGAAACTAATTTTCTTACACCTAATTCTTCATATAAAATTTTTGAATTGAGGTCTTTGAGATCTTCAAGTACGCCTCAAACTCGCGATATGTCACATGTCTATCTTCAATGATGAGTTTGCGCACAGCATCGACGTTTTCCTGGGTGACTGCCGTTTTTGGTGCACCCACCCTGGAATCGTCGCTAAGACTCACCCGTCCACGTTTGAATTCTCCATACCAACGGGCAATTGTCAACTAATGTGGCGCTTCGTTGTCAAAAACAGACAGGAACTCAGCAAGGCATTCTTGTTGCAATAATGGTCTCTGTAAGTTGTAATAAATTATGGCGCGAAAATGTTCTCGGTTGAGTTCCATTTTTCTAATGACTTGGTGACACTTAAAAATTCACTGTAGTGAAAGCACTGCGTATTGTTGTGAAACTTTGAATTCAAGTTTACTAAAGAGTGAGGTTAAGATTCAGTACTGACGTTCGATCCGCGCGGCCTACTGTGTTTCTATATGCAAAACTTAAAAGACATCCCTCGTATTAATGCTAAACCATGAAACAATCAGGCGAAGAATACTACGAATACTCTTTCAAATAGGCTGTTGAAAAAAATAGATGTTCGGCCTTAGCGTAAACATTGGTCTTTAGCTCCTTGGCTATAACGAACTGTACAATTATCAGATTCGCGACATGCTTGACATTAAAACCGAAAATCCATTAGCATCGTCGCTGCTTTATCCCAGAGGCGAATTAGGGTTGCTTCCAGTGGGAATGAGTTAGTCCGAGGTGCATCAGTTGAGCTGGTATACAACTGTGTATGTACTGTGTACAATGTGCTGACACTATTTATTATTTCCCGCCTTTCGGAATTCCAATACATACACAACTAATGTATGAACAAAAAAAAACAGACAGGAAAAATATATTTGAATCACCATCGTAACGGCTTACCGCATGACTCGTGCATCTACTAACATATTTGCCCGCTCTTTCCAGATATTTTAATAATCATAGCAATAATAATCCGTAACTGATATAATATTACCATTCGCTCTGAGTTGTGGCTTCAACCAGTTTTTATAATTTACAGCTACTCATCAC